ATGTGCAATTTTTTATAAAAAAATAGAATAAAATTTACACTTCGTGGCCCGATGCGGTGACTTGGCACTCGAACGGTTAAATTGAAGATCCTTTAATTCAGAAGTTGATCATTTTTGACCTTTTTAAATATTAAGCGAAGTGATATTTTTACTGTTTTATATTACTCGGTGAAAGAAACTTTGATCGTATAATTTGATCACGTATTTACGTTAGAAATAAATCGTTCATTTTGAAAGTACATCGAGTTTATAAATTTCACTCATTTGTCATAATATAATAAAGTATCTGTTCGAATAATCCTGAAGAATTATGTTTTCGAATTTACAGAGTACATTTTTTCGATCTTCTTACGAACGATACTAAATTACACGTGTATACACACTCACGTTCGTAAGTATTAAGAGACTTACTGAATGTGAAGTGTATTGAAATCTATCGAATTCCACTGAAGTCTATTGAAATCCACTGAATTCCACTGGAATCTACCGAAATTTACTAAATTTTATTAAAATCCACTGTAACACGTTACAGGTTTAATGTAAAATTCTTTCACACACGAACGTCATTAAAAAGTTGTTATAATGCTAAAAAAAAATTATTCATTCTAGAATTCTCGAGTATTACAGTGACTCCCACTAATATTCGGGCACTCTTTAGAGCAGTATAACTCTTTTTAAATTGGACATAACGACTTGAGTCTTTGTGAGAAGTTGGAAGAATTAATGTAGTAGATTTTGAAAAAGTCGCAATTTGTGGGAATCGCGAAGAAAATTGGAAAGGTGACTGTTCGCAACTTTTTTATCTAAGCGCGTAATGAAAATTTGAAGCACACGTTTTCTAGATTTATGCGAATTATACACATGCCGAAAATTTCATCGAAATCGGTTAACGGTGCTGTGAGCTGCAAAACTGTTAAAAATTATGAAAATCACCGTTTTTGAGGGTGATCTGAAGATTCTTACATCTGAAATTTTCACCACGTATATAATTGACAGAAATCTACAAAACGTACACTACCGGCCTAAAGTTTGGAATCACTGAGCATTGCAATTTCCAGAAAAAAGTCGAGCGACTTTGAGAATTTTTCGATATGAGATAAATTGGCGAATGTAGAATTGAGATAAACTTCAAATCTCTGAAAAATTCGCAGCAGATTTAATATTGATGAAAAGTCGGAGGTGATTCGAAACCTTTGGCCAAATTTTCAAATTTTCACTTCAACCTCGAATAAAAAAGTTTTAAACAGCGACCTTTCCAAATTTTCTTCGCGATTCCCACAAATTGCAATTTTTTCCAAATTTTTCGTACACGCCGTCTAGTACACCAATCCTCCTAACTTCTAAACGAAACTCCAATCGTTTGGTCCAATTTGAAAAAAGTCATAATACTGTGAACAGCGTCCGGAAATTTGTGGAAGTCACTGTACGCAATCTCCTCGAATTAAAACGTAATTTCCTTTAATTAAATCGTCCAACACTTTCTACACGAATATACAACGGGTGTCCCGAACGGCGATGTACGTATAAACAAGCCGAAGTTAATATTGAACAGTTAGAGCTTCCTGTGCCGCGCTACTAAAAAAATACCGTATACTGTCTATAAATAACGGACAGATGAAAATTTTTCGAACGATGATGTAATTCTTACACCGCGAACAGTACACGAATCCGGGGTTCTGTTGTAACAACGAAACGTTGACCATAACCCACTGTGGGCTACGTACTATTGAACGATCGCAGAAGTTCGTGGCCCGGTTTGAAAATAAGACACAAGTATTGTGCGCAAAGTCACATTTCATGTGAAAATAAAAACTAAACGAAGTAAACAATTATTTGAAAGTAAAGTACAAACGGTGTGCGCAAAGTCGACATTTCGTTTGAAAAGTAAAACGAAACAAAAGCACAAGCGGTGTACCTTTCGATAGGAAGATTTATCTCGCGGTAAGATTGCCCGCCATTTTTGAAAATTCGACACGAAATTTTTGCGATCGTTCGATACTTACTTGTGAATTTTGAACAGTGTAGCAGACACTTCGAATTTCCCGTGTCATTTTTCAACACATTCGATGTCATTAATTTCTCTCGAATTTCTACACATACATACTTATTTTCTGCGCTCTGTGACGTTTTCTTTTTTTTTTTTCTCTTTTTTTCTTTCACACTTGGTAATACCTCTTTTTCATGCGTTTATCACACTGTTCTTATCACTCTTACTCTTTCTGTCTCTCTCTCTCTCTCTCTCTTGTTCGACTGTTTACTTTTTGTGTTCTGCATCGCGTGTACAAAAACATTCGACGACCGGGAAACAAAAATTGAGGAAAAAAAAAGAATGAAAAAAGAAGCAATTACGATTGTGTGCGTGACTACGATAAATGGGAAAAACAGAACGCGTTATAGAAGATCTGTGAATTTCAAAGCCGAGATTGAAAATAATTCCGCGCGACGACACGTCCGTTGAACCGAAAAAGAAACGAGTAATTCTTTTTGACACGAAAGAAAAAGAAAGAAAAAAGAAACAAGATATAGAAGATAAAAGGAAAAAAAAAGAAAAGCAACCGTCTCCCATGTGTAATTTGCGTACAATTTCCGTATACTATTAATATCTCTCCGTTAGCCGCTGTTTGTAGATACCTAGACATACCTTTATTTACCCGATATACCCAGATTTATATACCCGTTACCATTCGAATTCCAGATAGAAAATTAATTTAGTATACATTTATTATGAAATACGTAACAACAATATTACAGATACCGCTAA